AAGTATGACATGACTTAATTTAAATGGACACAAGTGTTGGCCAAAAAATGTCTCAATATTAATTTATAGCGCTTTTTGACACCCAAATGACATGATATGTCATGAGACACCTGCAACACAAGAAAATGCAACACAGCATTTTTGGCACCACAATTTGTACAATAAAATCTCCCACAAAACGAACACCATATGGCACTTATTTCCTCACTAACATATCACCCTCCAGATAGTACACTGAAAAGAAGTCTTTGACATCACCATCAGGGAGCTCTAGCAAATATCTTGTTGAAACAGGGATCAGCACCTTGCGCCTCACAACTACAGACTTTAACACTATTGAGAACAATCTTGCCACATTTTATCCCCAGTACTACCCAAGATCACATGCACCCTTTTTTCTGTTTTTAATTAAGAGCATATACACCAATTCTTCCTTTCCTTAAACTAGATCAGACATCTCTGTGTAAAGAAAGAATTTATTTTAAAAAAGGTACTTGACTCCCCCTAGCACTCTTTAACAGGTTAGGCTGTTTGTAGCATCACTGTTTGCTGCTTCCTGGGGTGTGTTTTTAGATTTTTTTCTTTTTCTTTAGTAGTTTGTATTTATCACAAGCAGCAATTACCTTGCTATCCTACGCAATAAAATTATCATCACCTTTATGAGAGCGGAACCAAGCTGACTCCTTATAAAACCTTGGATATCCTTCAGCAAGGAAAGTATCACTATAGATAAAGATCATGTGAAAGCAATCATAGACTAGAACCATTATTGGTTCTTAATATTTGCAGTTTTCCTAAAGGTTTATACATGATTTCAAAATTTGAGCTGTCCTTCTCACATCACTATTTTATGGACATTTAAAAGTGCTCCTCTTGAATGAAGCTGTATCCAGTGCCAGAGTTGAAAGAATAGCATTAAGAGTTCCAGCGTTAAGACAGCCAGAGCCCATTTTGCCTTTTTTAATCAACAGTTAATGCCTCAATCATGAAAACAGCATGTTTAAAACTCTCTTGACTCACAACTTACCTAGCACGGACTATGTACAGAAGTCCCTGGTTAATACTTCTGTAAGGCTGGATCCATTTCAGTATGTTCTGGAATGCCAGCTGCATTAACTGGATCATAGAGCCTCTTACATTGCTTTTTACTGAAGGAGTATTGAATTAAGAGGGAGGAATCTTCATACCTGAGGACAGCATAAGGGTCCATGCATTTGGTCACTTGTATTTCAGAACGATGAGATATCCAACATGGTTTATAACCTCTCATATTTCTTTATTGAAATAAGTGCTGAAGCTTTTGCTTCTGTGAATGTGCCTTTCTCTGCTGTTAGCATTCTTTTGAACATCCTTTTTGTCTACTGCATGGTCGTTCCACAGCAAGGATCAGAGCAGCTGAAAGAACCCCTCAAGGTTTTACTGGGTTCGCTTGTTGGTTGCAACATTATTATTAATTCTTGTAGCTTTTTGATTGTTTTGAACGAGTTTGTCTTCTCTGAGATGTTTAGAAATTACTACACATTCTATGTTCTGCCTGATTTGATGTTGAGTGTTATGATATATACCATGATGACCACTGTTACTGCCTGCCACTGTAAGAACATGTTTTACTTCTGCCAGATTGTTCCTCCTCAGCATTCTGTGTTCATCTGGATTAAGAGGAACATAAGAGCCTTCATTTACTCTGCCTTGATCTTACATGGAATTTTCAATTTCTTTGGAATGATTGTAGACATTGTTTATGAAACTGTAGGACTCAAATATGATCTTGCACATAATGCCTCAGATGATGTAATGGATGCACTGTGGAATTCCCTGCAAATAAACCGGACGATAAGATTAGTGGATTTCTGGAATAGATTAGGATTCTTTTTCCTCAGTCTTTGTTTGATGTTGGCATCAAGCTACGCGACTGTTCTCTACCTGTGGAGACACATGAAGAACGTGGAGGAGAGCGGTGTCTCCCCGACTCCAGAGACAGATAAAGATCACAATCACAGGCATCACAGTACAGGCACTCCTTCACTTCCTCTGCTCAGATGGGATTATAATAGTTGAAATTGTAGTTAAGAATTCCTGCATGCCTTTGGATTGGAATGGGTATATCCTCTGCACCATCATCTCTGTGTACTCTTTTGGGACAACCATTAACATGATGGTCAGTCAGTCACTGTTCCGGCAGGGAGCAGTCCAAATTTGGCAAAAATTCAATTTCTTGTCACAGAATTAACAAATGTCTGTAAACTGTAATTTATTTAGCATAGTTTACAGTGTAAAGCTTATTGTCACTTTTAGAACAACACCTTCTGTCATCCATAACTTGTAACAAGAAGGTTAAGAAGTTTCCCTCTCCTGTAATGTTCCTTTCTGTAGATATGAGGTTTTGTTCAGACAATGATATGCTGTGATATGTTGTTTCATTTTACAGTAGAATTGTTTCTGAAAAATGACAGTAATTTATAACTGGTTTACGGTTAATATTAATTGCTATCAATATCCCAGTGCACAGTTTTTTGCAAAGTTGTGTCACCTCCCTTATGTCCACAAATACACTGTCTCGAAAAGTTCTTTGGCACAATTTCCAGGCCCAGTACACTTTAATGTTCAGCATGTAAAATTTAATCATAGCTTTTAGATGTCCATGAAAATTGTTTTCATCTGTTATGAATTATTTCTATAATGGAAATTAGGAGGTGGTGATTTTTTTGTGTATTGTATTATTTATTTATTTTTTTAACAACACTTAGAAATGCTTAATGAGTGTGCGTGTAAAGTGAGCAATAAGTTTCATGTTATTATTACATGCCTCAGCAGCACCATCTATAGAATGTGAGTTGAATTTCATGCAGCGTCAGGGATGGCAAAACAAACATGAATACTTGTCTCGATTTACATGTTCAAATATTACAAATAGTGATGTTGTTATTGAAGGTTGATTTTTGTTTAAAACATTATTTTTTTTATGGAAGGCTTAATGAACAGTTATTTTCTTCCAATGTTTCTTGCATTTGGCAGTGCTACTATGTGTACAACTGCTAAAGTGACTAATTACAAGCAGTTATAAAATAATAATAATTATTCTTCTTCGTTTTCTTCTTGTATTCCTGAGTGTGAGAGGACACAGAAACACATAATAAAAAAAGACCATAAAAAAACTACGTAAGAGTGTAAAAGTGTTCTTTGATAATTGTTTGCTTATTCAAATGTCAGGTCACATAAAGTGAATGAGAATCTCCAGTTTGTCTCACCAGAATGAGTGATTTGCATTGTAAATACAGATACACCACAATACGTGCAGCTTTCATAAACTGATCTGATTTGTTGCAATACGTAATCATCATCTGAGAGCTACAGAGGTAATAAGTACATACCCTTCTGCCCTCACCAAAGAAGGAGCTACATTCTGTCAATATGTGGGGAGTACCCATATTCAGCCACCTATCCAAGAGTAGGGAACCTCTTACATTGCTATTTCTCAAGGAGTCTTAATTTAAGAGGGAGGAAGTTTTAATTTGTAGATAACATGAAGACAAGTGGTCACTGACCCTAGATCTGGAGATCTTGCAAAGTCTAGTTTCAACCTGCAACAGCTGCTCCAGCTAATTAACTTTTTTAGAAGTCCTTGATCAGCTGGATCAGATGCATTACTGTTAGGTAAAGGGGGGGGCAAGTGGTTAGATACAGGTTGGAACTAAACTCTGCAGGAAAGCTCTCAGTGAGGAGGGCTGATGACCACTGATATAGGACATGCTCTCGGTCATTTGCGATTCAGAAAGACAGCAACAGACATCCAATACAGTACTTCAGAGTGCTTGGTTTTTCTCTGCTAAAACGATTCCTGAAACTTTTGCTTCAGTACATGTGCTGTCAGGATTCTTTTTAACATCTATTGTAAGTTTCCACAGCAAGGAGCAGAGTAGCTAAATAAACCTCCCACATTTTAACCCTTTGTTTGTCTTATGTGCAGTGTATGTTTTTAATGATTGTAGACAATGCTTAGTAAACTGTAAGATGGTGTGGCTGCAGGTTTTCATTGAAACAAAGGAGCACACCTGATCAATTGTTTAAAGACTGAGACCAACTGATTTTACAAGCAGAGGTGCTCCAGCTTGCTTGGAATGAAAACATGCAGCCACACTGGCCCTTTGCAGATAAGACTGAACAACCCTGTTCTAGGCACTCCTTCACTTCCTCTGTTCATTGAAATTATAAGTTATAAAACTCTTATTCTCTTTATTTGGATGTGGATTGGAATGAATATATCCTTCTCTATGCACTCTTTTGGGACAACCATTAACATGGGTTTGTCAATCACTCAAAACCTGTAATTGGCAGTAATTTTCTTGCAGCATAATTTGTATTTCGCAGGTGACAAATAAAAATAAGCTTCCATTTGTATTGTGACATCCACCACGGGCCACGCTACCCTAACGAGCCTGGGGGGCTTTGTACCCCACTCTTACTCTGTTAATATCTAGAACCTGTTTGCCATTTTAGTGTATTTAGTTAAACTGTCTAGTACTTACCATTATTTTACCCAAAATAATTACATAGCACTTCAGAGATTGTATGTCACACTTTGTTAACATCCAGGACCTGTTTGGCATTTCAGTGTGATCAGTCATTTTGTTTTTTCTTGGCTGGGATTAGACATAGAGATACACACCGTAAACATAATGAAAAAAAAATAAAAAGGGAAAACAAAGTGAAAATGTGAAAATGTTGTGTCATGCTTGGGTGCCGACACCAAACACCAGCCCACTGAAAGTGGCCGAAGAGTGTGTCTTCCCAGTAATTTGCATTGTAAATACAGATGAGAAAGAACCACAGAACACGTAGTTTTCATAAACTGATCCGATTAGTTAGAATATGTAATCAAGATCGAAGACATTTCCATTCATGACATCTCTTGGGACATTAAATTATAAAGGAGAAACGTTGTCTGAAGATAGCATTTACGCTCTTAATCATTTGTGGTTCAGAAAGATAAGATATCCAACATGGTTTATAACTACTCATATTTATACATTGCAATGAGTGCTAGAGTTTTTGCTAAAGTGAATATGCCTCTCTCGGCCGTCAGCCTTCTTTTGAACATCTTTTTTATCTACTGCATGGTCTTTCCACAACAAGGAGCAGAGCAGCTGAAAAGAACTCTCAAGGTTTTACTGGGATCACTTATTGCCTGCAACATTACTATTCATTCTTCCAGCATCCTCACTGTTCTATGTGAGTTTGTCTTATATAATGTGATAAACAACTGGTACATATGGTATCTTATGTTTGATGTGATTTTGGCCGTTATGATGTATACCATGATGACCATCGTTACTTCCTGCCACTGGAAGAACATGTTTTACTTCTGCCAGATTGTTCGTCTTCAGCATTCTGTCTTCATCTGGTTTAAGAGGAACATACGAGCCATCATAAACTGTGCTTTGATCTTAAATGCAATCTTATTTTTGTTTGGAATTATTGTAGAATTAGCTTATGCAGTTGTACGATTCAATTATCAGCAATTACATAATGCCTCAGATGATGTAGCAGAGGCGCTGTGGAATTCCGTACTAATAAACCGGAAGATAAGATTAGTGGACTTCTGGACTAGATTGGGCTGTTTTTTTCTCAGTCTTTGTGTGATGTTGGCCTCAAGCTATGCGACTGTTCTCTACCTGTGGAGACACATAAAGAATGTGGAGGAGAGCGGTCTCGTCTCTCCCCGACTCCAGAGACAGATAAAGATGACTATCACAGGCATCACAGTACAGGCACTCCTTCACTTCCTCTGCTCAGATGGGATTATATTAATTCAGATTATACCGAAATACTATGATGTGGATTTGGATTGGAATGGATACATCATCTGCACTATCATCTCTGTGTACTCTTTTGGGACAAGCATTAACATGATGGTTAGTCAGTCGCTGTTCCGGCAGAGAGCAGTTTGTATTTGGCAAAAACTTCTCCAGACTGTCAACTTCTCATCCCTGAATAATTAAGGACTTGTGACCTTTCATGTAATTACTTCCAAAGTAATGATTAGCTTACACTGTCAATCATATGATATGATTTCATTTTGCAACATAGTTCATTTTGTAAAGTTCAGAGGAATTTACAAAATTGAATTGAAGTAAATTAGAAAAGTATGGCATAGTGAGCAAAGTGCAGAGCCCAGGAGGAACCACTAGCCTAGCCTTGCCTAGCCTAATATAGCCTATACTAGTCAAGTAGGTTTGTTTTAGTACTGGTTCCAGAGCTTTCTTGCTATTTCTCCTTTCATCTCCTCTGGTTGCCCACCAGAATCAAATGATCACAGAGACTCAAGGGCAGAATATTGTTGCTACATCAAATTATGGTGAATGGAGAACTCATATCCTCCATACTAGTTTTAGTCCATGTAACTTCTGTAGCCAAGTGGATGATGTCCTATCCCAACCTGAGGGCCCTTGGCTTTGACTGAGTGTGAGACCAAAGGGGTTGAGCTGTTCCACTCCTTGGTGTGTTGGTGGGAGTTTGGTAGGTGCTCGGCCCACCACCCTTTGTCCCAAAACATTCCACTGAGCAGCAGATTCTCCATCCTGAAAGAGCTGGTGACTCTTATAACCATTAGCATTGCATACTCTGTAAAAAGTTAATCTCTGCATCAGGAAACACCCTGGCTACTGTTTATTTACAAGGTGTTCACTGGCCATATCCCATCAAGAACATTTCCTTGGTCAGATTACATGTACACTCATTTGCTTCTTCAATATTTAATTAGAGTAACTGATTTAAGATTGCCCTGATATGATGTTATGTTTGTTAGAAACTTTTAATATGACAGAAATCAAGGAGATAGTGTAATTTATTTATTTTATTTATTTTGACTTTTATTTCACTTTAAAAAGTGTAAGGTGAGCAATAATGTTCCACGTTATTTATGCATTCCTAGACAGCATCAACTGTATCAATCTGTAAATGTTTTAAATGTCTTGCAGCATCAGGAATTAGTTCCCCTGCTTTTTTCACTACATTTCTGAAGTTTCTCAAGTTGTTTCTCTGTGTTTGAATCCCACGGTCTGCTTTGGTTTTGGTCTTGACTCTTGTACTTAATAGTAGTCTGTTTGAGGTGAATCTGGACTGTCTGGAATCTGCACTGAGAGTCTACTAATAAACTTGATTGCAACCAGTCCTAACCTTATTTGTGACAATTAAAAAAAAAAAAGAATAAAATGTAATCAAACGCTGTAATTACCAGTCATTTTCATGCAACATATTTTGCAAATGGGAGGTAATAAATAAATCTATGCTTCTATATATTTTTACTAAGTGCTTAGCCATACAGTGGTATGCAAAAGTTTGAATACCCTTGGTCAGATTACAAGTTTTATTGCAAAAAGTAAACACGTTTTTGACAGAGAACAGATATGGCATTTTTAGTGAATTTAACATATTGGGGAAAAAAAAAAAACGTTTTATAACTTATTTTTACTTTAAAAATCGATGCTTACAAGTGTACTTCTACTATGATTAATGATAATGACAATAATTCTGTGTTCTTGGGTGTAAGTAGACAAAGAAATAAACAATAAAAAAATAAAATGACAAAAAATAAACAGGGAAAACCTTGTGAGAGTTAAAAGCATTGTGTTATGCTTAGGTGCTGATTCAAACACCAGCTCACTGAAAGTGGTTGAGGAGTGTGTTTTACCAATGTGTGTTATTTGCATTGCAAATACAGATGTAAAAGATGTATACAACACAGTACATGAAGTTTTCATAAACTGAACCAATTACAATATCTAATCAAAACTGAAGACATTTCCATTCATGACAGCTAGAAAGTAATTAGTACAGCCCCCCACCTTCCTCAAAAAAGAGGAGATACATTCTGTTAATGTGCAGATCTATGCCAAGAGTTGCAAACTTTTGGGACATCTATTAACATGGTATAACATACTTCTCTGATTCTGTATGTATCTGCTTTTGTTTATCTTCCCTTGTGTGTCTGTCTAGCCATGTGTTTCTGTTTTTGTTTTCCTGCCATTGTATCTGTAACTCTGCCTTGTAATCATTAGCCCCAGGAGTGTGTTGTTCTGTTACCATTACATCCATTTTATTTACTATTGAAAATGACCAGTGAACCTGCACACATCTTCTTAGTTTTATATGTTACATGTTACATGTACATGTTAATACGGAAAAAATAGTGGTAAATCTGTTTCAGGCATTAGGCAGTGCATTCATAATCATTTTATGTGATATTTTTTGTGAAGACGCTTTTAGAGACATTATAAACTCTTCAGATATTTGGTCTCTATCACCACCACTTGTGAATAATTCAGACTGAGTAAGTTTATCCAGAATGAAGCACTTTACATCAATCCATGAATGACTTTGTTCATATCATGGCCACTGGATTATGCAGAAGCTTTGAAAAAGTGGCGGAATTCCCCTTTAACAGCATTTCTACTTGATAAAGGAAAAAATACTGTGTTCTACGGAAAACTGTAATCAAGAGACTTTTTCTTGCAACATATTTTATATTTGGCTCATCAAAATTAAATATGTTACTACTTGACCAAAAACTACTACAATGACTGCGACAAGTTAAAAAATATTAGTAGAGCTAACGCTGTCTCACCCCTCCATCCAAAAGGAGGGGCTACACTCTGTCAACTTGCTGAGTACAACTATTCAGCCACCAATCCGAAAGGGGAGAACCTCTTACGTTGCGTTACGTTCCTTCAGTTACGCTTCTCTGAAGGAGTATTGAATTCAGAGGGAGTAACCGTCATATCTGAGGACAGCATAAAAGGCATGCTGTTTGTCATTTGTGTTTTTCTAACAATGAGCTGTCCAACATGGTTTATAACCACTCGTACTCTCTCTATTTCTACGTTGGAATGAGTGCACACACTTTTGCTTCACTGAATGTTCCTCTTTCTGCTGTCAGCATTCTTTTGAACTTTTTTTTTGTCTATTGTATGGTCTTTCCACAGAAAGGAGCAGAGCGGCTGAAGGAACCTCTGAATGTTTTACTGGGATCACTTGTTGGGTGCAACACTACGATTCATCTCTGCAGCCTTTTCTATGTTTTTCATCAGTTTGTCTTAAATACACTGATTATGAATTGGTACACCTTAATTATCGTATCTGATTTGATTTTGAGCATTATGTTATATACCATGCTGACCATTGTTACCTCCTGCCACTGGAAGAACATGTTTTACTTCTGCCAGATTGTTCCTCTCCAGAATTCTGTCTTCATCTGGTTTAAGAGGAACATAAGAACCTTAATATACTCTGCCTTGATCTTAAATGCCATTTTCTATTTGTTTGGAATGATTGTAGACATTGCTTATGAAATTGTGCGATCCCATTATGATGTAGCATTTACCCTCGGAAATGACACTGGGGATTCGCTGTGGAATTCCATGCAATTAAATCATTCGATAGGCTTAGCAAATGTTTGGTTTACATTACTCTATTTCTTGCTCAGTCTTTGTGTGATGTTGGCCTCGAGCTGTGCGACTGTTCTCTACCTGTGGAGACACATGAAGAATGTGGAGGAGAGCGGCCTCGTCTCTCCTCGTCTCCAGAGACAGATAAAGATGACCATCACAGGCATCACAGTACAGGTGCTCCTTCACTTCCTCTGCTCAGATGGGATTATAATAGTTGTAATTGCAGATAAATTCTCTCAGGAAAATTGGGATTCTGATGGATTTGTCCTCTGTACAATCATTTCTTTGTACTCTTTCGGGACAACCATAAACATGGGTGTTTGTCAGTCACCGTTCCGACAGGGAGTAGTTAATGCTTGGCAAAAACTTCTGCAATTTCTTATATCACTGAATTAATAAATGTGTGTAACCTTCCACCTCTTTCAGGTATGTATATCTTAGAGTGTAAGAAATATGCTCTGACTTAATTTTCCAGTAGATTTTATTTTGCTGTGTTTACAGAGTAATTTATAATTTATTTGATATCAATTTTTACGAATATTCCAATTCACATCTTCAGTGAATCAGTGTCATATCTGATAATAGGTTACATTTGTTATAAACTCACTGTATGATGGAAATAGAGTGTTTCTTTTTTTATGCCACTTTAAAAATTAGGAATGTGCATGTAAAGTGATAAATAACAGATACAGAAAATCTCTACTTAAGGACAAACACTGCCACTGTAGGGAGAAGTACAAGTAAAAGAACTGATAAAGGAAATTTCACAAGCAAGAGTAAATTAGTAGTTTATTGGAAAACCACTTTTTTTTGTATATCTGCAACCACAAACTGAAAATATTGAAAATCAACTGTACAATTTGCTCACATACCATATCAATCTTCATGTGTAATAATTAATGTGCAATACATGTAGAATATCCCAATAGTGTATCATTTTGTTATATTATATTGTTTATTTTGTGAAGAAGAGAGTTTATATTTTTATCTTTAGTGTTTTATATATTGTCTATATGGTAATAAGTAACAAACTGTAACCTTGTTAAGTAATTAACAAGGTTAATACCTTGTTTGTTCATTTTCTACTTGATACTTCTTTTCTTGAGTGCCTTGCTGTCCCTTTGCTGCTGTAGCACTGTGAATTTCCCCCGTTGTGGGACTAATAAAGGATTATCTTATCTTATCTTATCTTGATTATATAAGGCTTCCTAGATTGAATCAAAGGCTGTGCAGAGTCTGTACTGTTTAATTTGTGGTTTGCCATTTAAAAAAACAAAACAGATTACCAGATTCAGTCAAAACAACAGGTAGATTTCTCCTTCAAGAATGTTATTTTTAGTGACAGCCCTACTGCCAATTAGAGCCTTAAATGTTAGCTTATAATAATAAGTGCCAACCTCTAGACACAGTAAACATTACATTCACAGCCTTCAAACTATATAAATGTATGTCTATACTGACCCCACGCACAGTGAGGAGGATAGTTTGAGGGGACAAAGGATCTACAAGGATCACAGATGTGGTCAGAACGTCTCCTAAACCCTAATCAAACACCACCTATAGAACCACAGGTTGTATGGGGGCATGTGTCAGAAGAAAGCCTCTGCTGTTAAGGACCAATGAACTCATGTGCCTACAGTTTGCCAAACGTTACTGGAACTTTTAGTGGAGCCATGTTCTTTGGTCAAATGAGACCAAAATAGAGGTTTTTGGCAACAAATACCAGGTGATTTTGATGTGGTTACAAAAGCAGCCATGCAGAAAAGTTCCTCATCCCCTCTTTAAGGTATGGTGGTGGATCTGTGATAATGTGGAGCTGTTTTTCTTCCAAAGGCCCTGGACAATTTATTCAGATACATGGAATCACAGACTCCGTCAAGTACCAGCAGAAAGAAAATCTAAACCTGATGGCCTCAGCCAGGAAGCTTAAACTGGGCCACAGTTTGGATCTTCAAACAGGACAATGATCCAAAGCACACCTAAAAATAAGCACAAAAACAGTTCAGGAGGCTGCACAATGTAATAAATGAAGAGGTGCCAATAATTTTTGGCACGCACAGATTTGAGAAAAATATTTATTTCCCGATAAGATTTAGGTTTTTTTTTCTATCATTGTACTTCAAAAGGTTACATTTTTTTTATATTTTGAATCAAAGATCAAAAGGATAAGCAATAAAGAATGTTTTTTACAGCCTGTTTTGCTCATGTTTACCAGGGGTGCCAATATTTGTGGAGGGCACTGTATATGCCCCTGGTAATTACACTAATTACTTCACAAACAGACACGGTTTTTTTTTTTGTTTGTTTGTTTGTTTGTTTTTTACTTGATTTGACAGTTAAATAGCTTCACAGCCTCTCTCACACAGTTAAAACAGAGACACAACGGCAGTCAGAAAAAAAGAGAAACACAGAGACTGAGAGAAAGCAAGCACAAAGTCAGGCTGCGATCTCTGATGAACTAATGGAATAATAGCATCTGATGATGTAGTATCATCTGTAAGGTGACACTGAGGAGTAAATGTATCTTTGTAAATGTAATTTAAGTAAGTTAGATTCCAGATGTGGCAAATTTACCCTACAATCAAAGAGAACAACGATCTGATTATTACAGCACAACACTAAATTCTGGAGACTAACTCACTGGTAGGCTTTCTTACCTGCTTTGTCTGTGAACAGTGTGCACGTGACAAAATAATTTCATATAGATCAATATATCTGCTCATACTCTGCCACCTGCAGTCTGATCATATTACTGAGGTAACAAGTCTAAAGAAAACAGAATGTGAAAAACAAATCTGAGTGGACAAAAACTATTGTCCAGAGTTTTTGGGAACCTGTATTAGACTAGATTTCACCTATCAAATCTTTATACAGCTGTTTACCTCCAATGATGCAACACAATTGTATTTTATATGGATAAACTAAAGGCCATATGTTGACAACTATAGCTAAGTTGCAATAAAACTGTTTAATAAATAATCACCATATTATAACAAAAAAATAAGAAGAAAATGCTAAAAAGGACACCGCTCCTTGATTATCTAGGATTAGCTAGCCAGTTAGCTGCTTCATCTCTGTGAAGAATAAGTTGTGAAAAGCAAAGATCTCACCAGATTTTTAGGAGGTGCGTTTGGTTTGGTAATAATGCTGTTTTCTTCAGTTCATTTGAAAACAAAGACGACAGTTAGGATAAAGTATGTTCCCTATGTGCACTGGAAACATTCTCATTTTTCTTTCCCCACTAAACCCATCTCTGAACTTGTCAGGGCTGAAGTGTTTTTGGGAGCTGCTCTGATGTGATTGGCTTTCAGATTCTTTTAAATTTAACCAGGCTTTCATCTAACTGTTGAGCTAAAGTGCACTTTTATTTTTACTTTGCAGCTGTTATTAAAAAATTAAAGCACACATTTAAAGAAGATAGCTCTTTTAGGGTTCTTTGGTTTATTTAAAACCATGATTTCTATGTAGAACCATTCCATGCTTAAAGGGTTCTTTGCATGGTGAAATGTTTTTTTTCAGATTGACGGAGAATGTATTGTATATGGTTCTGTATAGAACCTTTTTGAAAATAGTTCTATATAGCACAAAAGAAGGTTCTGCCATGGTTCTGCTGTCAAGCTTGTAATAACAGAAGAGTCCTTTTTGATGCTATATAGAACCATTTGTTTACATGTTTAGATGTGGATGTGAACCCAGCTGCTTCTTTCATTCCTTCAACATCAATCAGAGAACGTTCCCTGACTCCGTCAAGGATGCGGACTCAGGTGAGTCAGGGGCAAACTTGGTCATAGCTGATTATACAATGAAGCTGCAACAGCTATTCTTAGTTGACTAACATGATTTTCCCTGTTGTTCTCACTTTTTTGGTCCATCCCCTGCTCTCCCCAGCTCCCAACTGGAAGGCACCTAATCATCTAATTTCTGATCACTAGCCACTGACTGGCTAACCAGGTGTTCACTCACCAGACAGATTAGGACTTCACAGAGGTAATTTCACCACAACAAAGGAAATAACAAAAAGTGTTTTTAGCACAAAGTCTCATCTGTATGGCTTGCCATAATTATAAAATAATGTAATTAGCGGGTATACATAAACAGAAATACACACAGGAATTAGATGATCAAGAATAAACAAGAAAAACAAAGCGAAAATGTAAAAGTGTTGCATCATGCTTGGCTGCCCATTCAAATTCCAGGCCACTGAAAGTAGTTAAGAATCTCCATTGTATCTCACCAGTGTGAACAATTTGCATTGGAAATACCAGTGAAAAGAAATGTTTACACAGCAGATGTAGTTTGCATAAATTGATAAAAATATTATGCAAACAAAATTGAAGACATTACCATCCATGACACCTCAGTGGACGCTGAATTAAGAGGAAGGACTTTTCATCTGAAGATAAAATATATGATATGTTCTTAATCATTCAGAAGAAGAAGATATCCAACATGGTTCATAACAGCTCTTGGTATATCTCTATTGAAATAAGTGCTGAAGCTTTTGCTTCTGTGAATGTGCCTTTCGCTACTGTCAGTGTTCTTTTGAACATCCTTTTTGTCTACTGCATGGTCGTTCCACAGCAAGGATCAGAGCAGCTGAAAGAACCCCTCAAGGTTTTACTGGGTTCACTTGTTGGTTGCAACATTACTATTCATTCTTGTAGCTTTTTGGTTGTTTTGAATGAGTTTGTCATCTCTGAGATGTTTAGAAATTACTACACATTCTATGTTCTGCCTGATTTGATGTTGAGTGTTATGATATATACCATGATGACCACTGTTACTGCCTGCCACTGTAAGAACATGTTTTACTTCTGCCAGATTGTCCCTCCTCAACATTCTGTGTTCATCTGGATTAAGAGGAACATAAGAGCCTTCATTTACTCTGCCTTGATCTTAAATGGAATTTTCTATTTCTTTGGAATGATTGTAGACATTGCTTATGAAACTGTAGGAGTCAATTATGATCTTGCATTTAATGCCTCAGATGATGTAATGGATGCGCTGTGGAATTCCCTACAAATAAACCGGAAGGTAAGATTAGTGGATTTCTGGAATAGATTAGGATTCTTTTTCCTCAGTCTTTGTTTGATGTTGGCATCAAGCTACGCGACTGTTCTCTACCTGTGGAGACACATGAAGAACGTGGAGGAGAGCGGTGTCTCCCCGACTCCAGAGACAGATAAAGATCACAATCACAGGCATCACAGTACAGGCGCTCCTTCACTTCCTCTGCTCAGATGGGATTATAATAGTTGAAATTGCAGTTAAATACTCCCGCGTGTCTTTGGATTGGAATGGGCATATCCTCTACACCATTATCTCTTTGTACTCTTTTGGGACAACCATTAACATGATGGTTAGTCAGTCACTGTTCCAGCAGGGAGCAGTTCATGTTTGGCAAAAACTTCTCCAGACTCCTCAATTTCTTATGTCACAGAATTAAACAAAGGCCTGTAGCCTTTCAGCTAATAATTTCTTCAGGTATTTATAACATGTCCTGTAAAGCTTTTGCTGTGATTATATTTTTGCAATGGATGTGATTTCACAAGTTTACAGAGCAAATTATAATTGATTGATATGAATGTGAATTGTTACAAAAATTCTTGAACTTCTGATCCTGAACTTCTGTGAATCAGTGTCATGATCAGATATTCACAATCTGTCTCAGTAAAGTTTCCCTGTTCATGCCTTCTATTTATTTTATTTCTCACGCCATTTGTATTTGGTTAATGAATGTACATGTGAACTGAACAATAATGTTTTACATTTATGCTTGTGCTAGTGGGACAGTTGTATTCTTAGGTAGCAGTATCTATAACAGCTGTAAATTGATTTGAATTACAGTATCAGAGATGGAAAAACAACTATTAATCATTATCTACATATTCATGCTTTACAAATAAATAATATACTAGCTTTTTAAAAGACATATTTCTGTTTGTGTTACACTTATGGCTTCGCTTCGCAAGTCTGAATGCCTTTCTCTTTGATCTCTCTTTAATTGTCTCCTTGTCTGTTTATCCATTTTGTGAGCCTGGCCTTCACTTAACCTGTTTGCAGTCTAAAATTCATGTTTGATAGAAGATTTCACCAACCATGGAAGCAACAGGTGCTTTAGAAGAGGAAACTGAAACCTCTTGGGCCATGGACATTTTGGTAGCACTGGCTGAACAGGGAAAACTGCTTCACGACCTCCTCTGCAAATTTGAGGAACTAGGCAGTAGGTAAATGTGGGGGGGACCAAAACTCAAGAATTGAGTCTTCTTTGAATTAAGGCCTTAATTAGTCTTCTTTTCCTTACAGTACACATTTCTGGAAAATATACATAGGAGGGTGTGTCAGCGGGGCGTGATCAGACGCTGTCTGTAAGGGGGAGGGCTGGTTTGAGTGAGGCAATGTACCTGTAAGTATGTGTACCTGTGGATAATGTCTCTCTCCCAACTAAAATATACAAAAATGACACTATAAAATTTAAAGCAGTATAATCCCTTCACTTTTACTTACAAACACAAATGTGGTATGGATTAAAAGTTTCTTGGATTTTAATGCTCTGAATGAATTCAAACTAATGCCCACTCTAAATAAATCCAACCAATGCCCATATCATGAAATATAAAAATGTCTGAGCCATAACACTGCTGCAACATCAAGTTTAGCTTAGTTTTGTCAATTTTTTGCTAGATTAATATTGATGTTGCTTTCTTCCAGCCAGTCTGTAAATCATCTTACAGCCCATTTTGTTTGGCGAAAAGCTTGCTCAGTGGTAATGACAGTTTCGGAATTTAGTGTAGTCTCAACTTCAGAGTCTGACCAAATCGGCTGAAAGTCAAATGTAATCTTAAAAGTAACCATTTTATCCAAAGCAGTGATAGAGATGTGGTAAGGGTTTGGTAGCTGGTACCAGTGTATCAGACTCAGCGGCATTGATGAAGTGTTACTGCTGTGCTGAGACGGGTCCACTACCCAAAAATGTTCAAAGAGCCAACAATGGTCTTGTGATCACATCGTTTTAATCAGATAAGCTATTTATCACTGTAGCTTCAAAGTGTACCAATTCTGTAGACATCTAATAGAGTGGATGGTAAGTGTATGCAGTGTTTAAAAACTCCATCAACAGCGTGGACACATTGGACCAGGGCAACGCAGACTAACATGGTACTACAACTACTACATCTCTGTCACTACCGTGTGGAGAATGATCCACCACCCAAACAATATCTGGTCAGCAGAGGTCCTATGGTGGTTTCCAGTGATTAAATTAAAAAAAAAAAAAGAGTAAAACTGTTCAGTGGATTGACATAAATCTGTCAGATCTGTCATTATAGAGCAAGGATGTCCCATCTAATCTATAAAGGGTCTGTGTGGGTGCTGTGTGAGCACATGATTATGCTTGTTAAATTGGTTGGTCTCAGTCATAAAAGAATTGATTCACTAGGATTTACTACCATTCCAGTTGCAGTAAAAGGATTCTGACAATCATGTTCCTTATCACTTTTTTTGATCTTCCTACTGTCTGTCAGGTGGCTGAAACTCTCTTTAACAAGGTCTTCAATTACTATGGCCTCCCTGGGGACATCACATCTAGTCAAGGTACCCGGTTCAGCTTGAGAATGTGGAAGACTCTGGGGTACAGGCTGAGAGGCAGGAGATATAGTAAGCCTGACAGTTCAACCCTTGTCCAATGGACGGGTTTTGTTGTCTGGCAGGCCATGAAGGCTCTCAGTCTTTCCTTTCCCTGTAGAATCTTTCAAAGTACACCGAAAAGTCAATCATATTGCTTTCACGTTAGAATTACCACCTAGTTTCTGTACCCCAGCTACTTCCCCATTCTCCTTTCTTAGGTTGGTGGTCCTCCATGAAGTTGCTATCTTGCAATGCTATACCTGCAACACTAGGGTAACCCTCCTACCTATACAGACACTATAATGATGTCCTCCTGGACTATAGGTGTGAATACAGCTTTCAGTACCATGTGGACTTGAAGGGGTATGTCGCCAAGGAGCAGTGCTGGATGCCTATTGGCAACATTCTTGACCCAGAGTTTATGTGAGACTTTCACAGACGACATACCGACTGTCCCACCCTGTATCTGAGGAGTAGTACCTCAGACTGCCCTGTGGCTGGGGTCTGCTTCTTCCATTCTCCAACACTTGCCATCACTGGCCAATGGATCCCTGGCCCTTAGATCCTGTCTGTCACATACGATAAACATTTATTTCAGTGCTGATTAGCTCCCCTACCTTTCCTCCCCTGTATATCACCTCACTTAGAAAGTCTCTCACTTTCTAGCAAAGCATCTAAGCTCTTGGGTCAAAGTAAAGATGGAAATACACAGCGGGAAAAAGACATGATGAGAAATAAACAGGGAAAACAAAGTTTAATAGATGTGAAAGTGTTGTGCTTCAGTGTCTAAGCTTCAGCCTACTAAAAGCAATCGAGAATCTCCAGTGTGTCTTACCAGCATGAATAATTTGCATTGTAAATATAGAGAAAAATAAATATCTCCACCACTGTACATGTAGTTTACAACAACTGATTTGATTAGTTAGAAAATGTACTCAAGATTTAGGACATTATCATGCTCATCCTGCTCCCTCCCCCTAACAAAAGGAGGAGTGACACTGTCGATGTGTGGGGAATAACACTTCTGAGGCACTAATCCATGCCAAGAGTGGAGAACTTCTTTCATTGCTTTTTTTCAGAGGAAATTCATAAATAAGAGGGAGAGACCTTTTATATCTGAGAACAGCTTAACAGGCCATGCTCTTGGCCCCCTGCTGTTTCAGAAAGATAAAATCTCCAACATGGTTCTTAATAACTCTTTGTATTTCTCTGTTGAAATGAGTCGTGAAGCTTTTGCTTCAGTGAATGTGCCTCTCTCTGCTGTCAGCATTCTTCTGAACATTGTTTTTGTCTACTCTATGGTCTTTCCACGGAAAGGAGCAGAGCAGCTGAATGAAACGCTCAAGGTTTTACTGGGATCACTTGTTGGGGGCAACATTACTATTCATTTCTGCAGCCTTTTGTTTGTTTTAATGAGTATGTTTTTAATGACGTGGTTAGAAATTGGTACATATTATGTATAATATGTCCTCTGATTTTGAGTGTTATGATATATACCATGATGGCTATCATTTCGTCCTGCCACTGGAAGAACATATTTTACTTCTGCCAGATTGTTCCTTCTCAACATTCATTCTTCATCTGGTTTAAGAGGAACATAAGAGCCATGATATACTCTGCCTTGATCTTAAATGCAATGTTCTGTTTGTTTGGTATGACTCGACATTTTGTATAAGATTGTACAACTCAATATGAATCTAGCAAATAATTTCATTAGTGAAACACAGGAAGGACTGTGGAGTGTCCTGCAAATAAACTTGCTAAGTTTTGCGGACTTCTTGTTTACATTAGTCTTATATTTGCTCAGTCTCTGTTTGATGTTGGCATCGAGCTACGCAACTGTTCTCTACCTGTGGAGACACATGAAGAATGTGGAGGAGAGCAGCCTCGTCTCTCTCCCCAACTCCAGAGACAGATAAAGATGACCATCACAGGCATCACAGTACAGGCCACAGAGTCACACACTGTTCCAGCAGAGAGTAGTTGAAGCTTGGCAAAAACTTCTTCAGATGTTCAATTTCTTCAGTCACTGAATTAATAAGGGCTTGTAACCTGTCTTGTCGTTTCTTCAGGTATGTATGGCTTATAGTGTAAGGCTTATGCTGCAATTTAACTGTGCCACAGACCTGATCTTATGATTGACAAAAATCTGATAATTTTCACATTACTTATGCTTATATTACAGTTACATATTGTTCTAGGAAAGGTTTGCAAAGTAAAGACTGAAGTGAACCTGACTTTACTTGACTCTCCTGGACAACATCATCTGTAGCAATCTAACAAAAGAAATGAATGGCCTGTCCCATCAAGAATAAAACAAACAAACAATGAATACAGCAATTCTCAATGTACAGGTTTTTATGTTTTTATAAGATTAAATACTGTTTTATCAAAAGCTGGTTTCTGTTTAAAAAAGAAATTGTAATTGGCAGTTATTTTCTTGTAACCTGCTGCATTTAGTGTGTCACAAATAGATAATTCTGTATTCTTGAGTGTGACTAAAGGCAGAAATGCCAATCCTGTGTCAGTGTATTTAAAAAGTGGGGCATAGAATAGATTTCAAACAGACAATATTCAATTTTAGTTGAGTACACAGTACATTGTAATGCAGTGTATCATGAGATAATTATGAGGGTTAATTTGCGATAGCTGATCAGTCTTTTTAAAGTACTTCTTTGAAGCATACAGATGGAATCATTTTTTTGTGGCAACACAAACAGCTTCTTTGTTAGGTGCTCATCGAACTAACTAAATCAACTGTACAGTGAGAAGTCCTCTGAAAAGATAGTTTTCTGTAGCTAACACGTTATATTTGGTAAGTTATGTCTTACCATCTAGCTTCCTGTGCTTTAAAAGTTGGCTAGTGAATGTTTAGATGAAAACATTTCATTTGCTAAATAATCCCGTCTGACAGTATGGCACTTCAGTTTCAGTGACTTCTGTAGCCAACCATACAACTCTTTGTGTTGCAGACCAACAAACAGAAGTGCTAGCTTCAACCAAAAGTATGAATCCATATGGAAATTGTCAAGTAGACATGTTTTATTCTCAAGTGGCACAAGCTAACAAAAAGAAGTTAGAATATGGGCTGAACAGCCAACCTAGCAGTCTATAATATGCATTTGTTTCAGAAACTACAGGGTTAAAAATGGGTGGTTCATTAAAAAAATTAATAAAATTCTACATCAGTTTAGAAAGTGATGTAATTTCTGGATACAAATCTATCTCTTATGTGTCCTTGTGATGTGTGTGTGTATATATATATATATCCCCATTACACCACTAGAGGTCAGTAGTGATCTGCTGGTGGACGCGCGCCTCTTTCCAAAAATGAAATTTACAGCATGAAACCCATGATTTGTCAAGATGAATAAGGCCACTAAGAAGAAATTAATTTTACAAAAAGTATTTTTTGTTCTGCTTATATTTTTATATTTGATATATTAAAATGTATTCATAGCTCATTTTGTTACTGATTATAATTTTCAGTCCTGGCCTTAATGATAGTCATTTTCTTTGTTAAGATACAAATACATGCTACTGCTCTATATTATTACTCTATGGGACTACTACCAATACTACTATAATATTTTTTGCTAGTTAAAAGAGAATCCAGGAAAGGCCTATATGAGGCTCGCCACTTTGCCAAAACATGCATCAGCAAATAGTCTAACTGTTTAAGAACAATGTTCCTCAAAAAGCATTTGCAAGGATTTTAGGTATTTTACCCTCTTCAGTGCATAATATTATCAAACATTTAGGGAATCCATAAAAAAAATTGTGAATAAACGGCAAGGCCAAAAATCACAACTGAATGTCTATGACCTTCAACCCCTCAAACAGCACTGCATTAAAAATTGCATACTTCTTGATGGATGTCACCCCATAGGCTCTGGAATACTTTGACAAACCACTGTCAAAAAACACTGTTGCAACATCCACAAATACGTTAAGACTGTACAATGCACAGTGGAAATTATATGTCAACAACGTCCAGAAAAGCTACTGACTTCTCTGGGCTTGATCTCAGCTTAAATGAACTGACGCATGGTGGAAACATTTACTGTGATCTGATGAGTCCACTTTTCAGATTTTTATAGAAATAATTGACATCATGCTCTGTGGGCCAAAGAAGTAAAGGACCATCCAGATTGTTACCAGTATAAAGTTCAAAATCCAGGGTCTGTCATAGAATACATCAAGGGTGTGTTAGTGCTCATGGCATGGGTAACTTGCACGTCTGTGAAAGCACCATTAATGCTGAAAGACATTTTGGAGCAACATACGCTGCCTTTTAGACTCTGTCTTTTTCAGGGATGTCCATGTTAATTTCAGTGCCAATGTGTTACAACAGCATGGAACCATAATCAGAGAGTGCAGGTGCTAGACTGGCCTGCATTTTTCCTACTGAAAACATGTGGTGCATTATGAAACGCAAAATACAAAGACGGTCCAGTACAGTTGTGCTGCTAAAGACTTGTATAACTGAAGAATGGCAAATTCTGCTTTCAAAACTGGATCCATTGGTGTCCTCAGTCCCCAGATGATTATTATGTTTAAAAGGAATTTTAACAGCACTTAATAAACATTTGAGGACTGAGGTGATGTAACACAGTGGTAAACATGCTCCTGTCCCAACTTCTTTTTTTGTTTGTTGCAGACATCATATCTAGAATGTGCATATATTTACAAAAATAGTAGTAATAATAAAAAGTAAAGTTCGTAAGGCAAACATAAAATATTGTGGTTTTGTACTGTTCCAATTTAATGTAGGTCAAACAGAATTTACGAATCACTGCTTTCTGTTTTTATTGATATCTCACATACTGTTCCTACTTTAGAACTGGTTTAGTACTACTACTACTTCTTGTGTGTTTCTGTATTAGCATATTTTTGTATTTCTGTGTCTACTTGGATATGAGTAGAGACAAAAATACATTTCTGTTACATAGTTGGCGTAGAGGCAGGATGTATGTGTGAGTTAAGACTTGATTAAAAACAAAATGTAACTGTCCTAAAGGTATTCTTCTGATACAGACGAGACCACGCCAGAGAACTGTAGAGAGGAGAATCACCACTCTGTAATGTCTTCTCAAATGCTAGAGGGTGCTCCCGAGCAAGTCCAAAATGAATGGGTTAATTTAAAGCATTTGAGCAAAATCCTAGTTTATAAATGCTTAAACATTTTAATGTAAAAGAATGCAATCATTTCCTGAATAGCATAAAACATTTTAACACTGCTGTTATATTTTTCAAGAGCTTTTAAACTCGAGTTATAAAAGCTTAAAACGGTGCTTCATGTTTGTCCATGATGTCAGTGAGCGCGAACAGCCAATGAGCTGCTCCGCTCGCCAACCAATCAGCACTCAGTAGCAGTAATGCTAGAGTCCTGCTGCCCAAAACCCGTTTGCTGTAGAAAAAGGACAATACATAGTAAGTTTTCTTTGCTTTTTAGTGAAATGCATTCTTCTACTTTCGCAGGCACCCTCTGCTGTGCAGCAGTCCTGTTTTTGATGTAACGGGGGAAGTAGGAAGTGACCAGCGCTCCTTCCTTCACTAAACCGGATAAACTGGCTCTGACCACGCTCCTGCTGATGTTTGACAAGCATTTATTGCCCTCCTTTTCTGATTCAAGCACTGTGAAAAACTGAAATAAAATAAACACTGAATTTTACAAACAAACTGCATTATGAGTGTAAATGAGCCTCTGTTGGCTAAAAGGCAACAACAAAATCCAACAAAATCTCAACAAAATCCACTCAGTGTCCATAATGATTTAGTTAGCCATGTAGCCATCCTTCTTTAACCAACGGTAATGTTCTCTCAAGTCCCGTGTTTACATTGACTTGTGAAACGGTAAATGAATATTACAGATGAACTAAATAACAAATAATTTCACACCATGTGCCCGAAATGTAGGAGTTGTTAGAATTTTTAATGTCGAACGGGTTCTCTTCATAGGCGAAAACACTTCACTCTGTGTACAGCTCCCCACGGTACCAACAACATACATACTTCCTTCCCCAGCCAGCCAGCCTGATCACATGACCACAACATAAAGCCCATTCAGCATAGCTCATTGGTTTGAACAGTAGAGGTCACTATTACTCGAAACATTGACAGACCCAAGGTTATAACTGCAAAATATGATTACAATATAATTGCACAGCACCACCTGTCATGATAAACAAACTATTTCTCTGATGAGGCGCTTCAAAACATTAGGAAAACAGCACAATTTCCTATAACCACTACACAAAACAAAACAAAAACTGTAAAGTACTGAAGTACAAACTGAAACTAACTGTACTGTGCCCTGTCTCATGATTCATTGTTATATTTTTTATCATCTGACAAAAACTAATTATCTATGCATTATTTCATCAAAAACACACTGACGAGCCTGCTTTTTCAGATTGAATCAGTTCTACTTATTATGACAGATTCCCCATATACACCCATCAGGCATAACATTATGACCTTGTTTCTGTGCTCATTGTCCACTTTATCAGCTCCACTTACTACATAGTAGTTCTACAATAACAGACTGTAGTCCATCTGTTTCTCTGCATACTTTGTCAGCCCCCTTTTACCCTGTTGCTCTGTGGTCAGGACCTCCATGGACCCTCACAGAGCAGGTACTATTTGTGTGCTGGATCATTCTCAGCACTGCAGTAACACTGATGGTGGTGTGTTAGTGTGTGTTGTGCTGGTACGAGTGGATCAGACACAGCAGTGCTGCTGGAGTTTTTAACCACCTCAGTGTCGCTGCTGGACTGAGAATGGTCCACCAACCAAAAATATCCAGCCAACAGCGTCCTGTGGGCAGCGTCCTGTGACCAGCGTCCTGTGACCAGCGTCCTGTGACCACTAATGAAGGACTAGAGGATGACCAACACAAACTGAGCAGCAGCAGATGAGCTATCGTCTCTGACTGTACATCTACAAGGTGGACTGACAAGGTAGGAGTGTCTAATAGAGTGGACA